CCCCAAAACCCCAAAACCCCAAAACCCCAAAACCCCAAAACCCCGTGATGAAGATTTTGTCGTTACAGTATAGTTATTAAATTATGCATATTAAAATCATTAGATTTAAACGTTTAAATTCACATATTGTTTTTACTCGCTCAAATTATCAAAATTAAATTCGGAATTTTATTGTAAAAAGGTATTCGCATGATTGAAGGAAGATATAAAATACTAAAGAAAATGGGCGAAGGTGCAAGTGGATCAGTTTGGAAGGTTTAAGATCTTTAAACAGGAAAAAAATAAGCAGTTAAATATGTATGATTTTTGTCATTTAATAATTTCGCATAGCAAAAATATACTGAGGAATTCACAACTGAGAGAGATATTTATCAAATATTTGCTGCTTAAAATATTTAAGGATTTCCAAAATACATAGCATCCTAAAGAACAGCATAGGATAAAGCATTCATAATCTTTGAGAAGATGGGTCCATCACTTCAATGGTTTATGAGTTAGAAAATAAAATCAAAGCTTACTCTCAAATTAGTATGTGAAATCGGAATTCAACTAGTAAGTATCAACACTATCAATAATATTTTTGTTAGGTTAATTAAATAGAGTAACTTCACTCAATAGGCTATGTTCACAGAGATATTAAGCCAGAAAATATTTTGCTTATAAAAAAGGCAGAGATTTTAACTTCATCACCTTAACTCAGCATTGTAGATTTTGGTGCTAGCAGGAAGTACTTGAATGAAATTGGATTGCATTAATAAAATAAGATTGAAGGAACATTTTTTGGAAATTTTGCATTTGCTAGCCTCTATCATATGCTTGGTCATGGTAAATAAAACTAATTTTATCATTATATAGCGCCTTCAAGAAAAGATGATATGATCTCTATTATTTATATGCTCATGCATTTAAAAGGATTTTCATTGCCTTGGATATCATTAATGGGTTAATAAACAAGGAGGAATCTTTATGAATTAGTTGTAGAGCTCAAGAAGGAATTTCATAATAAATTGGAGGAAAAGTTTTCTGGAATTGATTGTATAAAAGATATTTTTTATTTAATCCCTTTATAGGCGTTCTAAGAAATCTATTCTAGATTATTGATTCAATAAAATTTGATGAGAAACCTAATTATGCGTAAATCATTAATATTCTACAAGAATAGCTTTCAACATTGGAAAGATCAAAATAATAACAAATATGGAGGTCTGCATCACCTTATATCGAAAGCCCTCATTCATTATCTCCTTTCACTAATAGTTATCTTACTTCACAAAGACAAAGCTTTCAGTAATTTGAATTTAAATAATCAGAAGAGAAGGAAAGAATATATAATAGATTTAGTGGAAGCTTTATTTAAGGCATTAAACAAAATAAATAATCAAATGATCAGAATGAAAAGGGAGATTCATCAGTTAAGCACTAATCATAATCTAAAGTAAATTTTGATTAATCTCCTCAAAACCTACAAAGCAAGGTGATTGAGGTGCAGAGCAACTATAAGAATACAGTGAATTAAGAAGTTAAAGAATAAAATCGGATTTTAATTTACCAGGATTCTTTTGATGATCAAGTTGAAATAAATGATTTTTAAAAAAGGGAAAATTTGCCAATTTCTAAATCATCATCAACTGATTAAGGTAGAACTAATCGAAAATCTAGGTTCCACCAACTTCATATAATTAATAAGATGATTAATAGCGTTCCAAAAATTAAAGTTGATTAGCAGCCATTTAATATTGAACTTAAATAGGAAGTAGAGAAAAACAAATGTTATTTCAGGAAATAATGCAAACGAGATCTACTTATTAAGTCACAGCATCAGGAATAAAGATTAAATCTCGACGATTAAGATTATTCATTCGAAATTAATGAGGAAGTATTATTTATATCTGCAGACATTTCAGAAAACATCAATCAAATTTTTCCAAGTTCAAAATACAACTTTAAAAGTCATCCAAATAATCTAAGGAGTATTAACAAAAATGTCATCGGCATTAATAGTAGAAGTAAAAATAATTAATAATGACAATGACAATCAATCAATCAATAATAAATTATTAAATTCAGTCAAAGTATAGTAATTAAATGATTTGCAAAATAGTTATTAATTATAAACCTTGCTTTATTTTAAAAGATTTTTTAATTTAAAACAAAATCGGCATCACGGGGTTTTGGGGTTTTGGGG